TCCTTAAATGTTGTCCTGCCAAAGGTGTCCAAGCCAGTGGACGGTGACGATGTGAGTCTGAGGCTGGTTCTAAGCAGTGACAGCACTGTGGTCAGGATGCTGTCCATCAGCATCAGTGTTCAGGCCATGAGGTACACCGGCCGGCCAGCAGGAAACATCCTCACTCAGGCCACGGAGCAGAAGCTGCTGCCTGGGAAAGGTAAGGCGTTTATTGGAGGAAACTCTGAGGCGTTTCCTGTGCTTTCCTGACTCTTTTCTCTCTGGATCCTCCAGAACTGACTGTCCCTATCCTGATCCCATACGTGGCTTATCACAAATTCATGATCGGATGTGAGAGCCTTTACATTTCAGCCATGATCACCGACCATCAGAAGAAAAATCACACTTTCCTGGCAGAGAACCGCGTTGTGCTGATGAAACCCCCCATCTCCATTACAGTAAGTATAGAAATACTTTGAATAGCTCGAAGGCTAATAGGAAAAAAATATTATTGAGGAACTCAGTTGTTACACTTTATCTTAATTTTCTGTTCAGCTATTTCTGCTTTAAATTATGGAAAGGTCTACTTTTAATATAGAAGCAGGAAGCAGCACTAAGTTTTGTTAAAGTTGTATTGATTTTGTTTATTAATGTTCATAAAACCAAATCCTGTTCCAAGTTGCAATTTTCCTCTTTCCCTTTCTGACGATGAATCCATGGTGTGTTCAGGTCTTTGGTGAAGGCAGACTGATGAAGGAGATGATCGCTGAAGTGATCTTCATGAATCCTGTCAATGAGATTCTCAGAAACTGCAGTCTGACTCTGTCTGGAAGTGGCCTGCTTAATGGGGAGATTGTTACTGGGTGAGTGGTTCATCCTGTCGTTCTCTGCTGCCATGTCTGCAGCTCATCGTACTGCTGAGTCTGAAGGTTGACCTGACCCAACCAAAAGTCCCCCAGAGGAGTTTCCTAATTTTAGAAAGAAAAAAGGGACGCCCTAGCACCCCTACGAAAGCCAAGAGCGGTCGTTTCCCTCCGATACTTTTTCACGAGTTAATTTTCTCATTATCTAAAGGTAACGAAAGCAGTTTTCTCATGATAACAAGATGAATGGTGTGTGTTAAAACTGATTACATCCTTATATAGCACAACAGCAGGAGAGTGTCATGATCGGTTCACTAAGTTAAACCCACATGCAGAACACTAACGGAGACGGAGGAAAAGTTTAA